GCCTCGCTACACTGTTTCTGCCTTCATTCCTCCCGGGACTGTCCCACACCTTCCTCGCTCTGAGAAAGGGGACAGAGGCAGCGACTTCCAGGAATCGTGGGCTCTGTGCCACAAGGACAGGATCCCAGCTCCAGCACCCACTGATGCCCCAGGGGCTGGTACCTGTGCCCATGGCAGGGATCCCAGCTCCAGCACCCACTGATGCCCATCTCCAGGGGCTGGTACCTGTGCCCGTGGCAGGGATCCCAACTCCAGCACCCACTGATGCCCGAGGAGCTGGTACCTGTGACCATGGTAGGGATCTTGTCCCAGGGGAAAAAGGCCATCTCCGCAGTGGGAATCCTGACCTGGGCTACAAAACACACTCTATTTCTCATTCCAAATCAGCATTTTGACACACTCTTCTGTCCTCAGACACAGCATCAAAGCACATCCCATTGTTAACTGGTTCTCAGTCTGCAATGAAGTTCTCCTAGGAAGAAAACCAATGGTTATGCCAGACTAGCTGCCAGGGAGTGGTGCAAAGCACAGCTCATCTGTGCAATGGATAAGTACCAGGAAATCTGTAAACAGCAGGAAGAATGTAAAAGCTGCATAAGCAGCAGAAGAGCTGCCGTGAGCAGATCCTGTGCAGCTTCCAGCCCTGAAGCCTCTGGAAAATACACAAAACACCTGTGTGACTCCAACCCACCAACACTTAAAGCTTTTTGTGGATTGTTTAGTTGGCAAAATTTTCTGATTTCTCAGCTGCTGCTTCCGATACCAAGTGCAACATAAAGCCTGTCCTTGCACTGCAATCAGCACTTGAGAGGAACAAGGGTGGAATACTCACTGCTGATACCAAGCACAAGACTTCCACTGGAAGTGGAACCAGCTTCCAGAGGGTGTAAGAGCTCAGAAATTCAAGACATTTGGAAAATAGGATGGGAAAGCCTAGAGGAGGATGGGGCAAAGCCTGGCTTTGAGCAGTGAAGAGGCCAAAGAGATGCTGTGTACCCTCAGAGCAGCCGGCTAGATCACTCACAAACACCCTACATATCTGCCCTCCACAGCCCCACCCCTGACAGGTGACCCATCTCCTCTTCCCAGCAGTAAGGGGAGCAGGAAAGAGAGGGAGGGACAGGCAGAGGAGGGAGAGGAAAAGGAGATTATTTTATCAGATTTGATATATGCTCAGGAGAGAGGAAAAGGAGGCACCAGTGCCATGCTCCAGCACAGCACCCACTTGGCTGCTCCCCCAGTGCTGGGGGGTTCTCCTTGCTGAGCACAGCTCCAACATCCCTGCAGCCCCAGTTACCTGGCCTCAGCACATCACCTGTTTCACAACCTCAGCTCTAGCCACGACAGACAGGCACCCTGCCACAGCCTGCTGCCGTTCCAGCTCACATTCAACCAAGCTCCGAGTTCTCTAATCCAGCTCCAGCTGGATTATCACAGTCATCCTGTGTCTCTGAGCAAGGAAAGGGTGAGAGGTGCTGAGGAAGAAATTTGTTTATCTTTTCTCCATTTGTCAGGAACTGACAACAAGCTTCAGCACATCCCCATCTCTCCTGGCCACCAGAGGCTCCCTGTCCATGTGTCCAGAGGGGCCGAAGGGACCAGCTGCCCACACAATGTTCTGCCATGGTCCTCTTGTCTTCAAAGAAATATTTACATCCCATGGCAAATTGCCAGAGCAGAAAGGTCACTCTGACAATAGCAGGCAGGAGGGTCAGCCCCTTCCCAAGGGCTTTGGAGTTCTGCCAGTGCAGCACTGGGGGTCCCCAGAGCCCTCCTGGGACTGGGATGCCAGAGCAGCTGCTGCTGGGCACAGACTGGGACTGCGGGCAACCCTGACAACGACCTCCTACCTCATTCCATCTCTCAGTGTCACAGCTGCCTTCATCTCTCTGCCAGTCTTATCTCCTCCCTCCACAGGAAGGAATTACTTCGGGTTTTATCTGCAAGCCTATCACAATTACAGAGCTGAAACGATTACAGAGCCATCGAGCCAGGTGATGAATGAACACGTGGCACTGGCCCAAACTGACCACAGCCAGACTAAGGAAGGGAACCAAAGGCAGATGTAACCAGCAAACACCAGGATTCCAACCAGTACCAGCACCAGGTAACAGCAGTGGTAGCAAATGCCACTTTAAAATGTCTGAAGCTACATGGACATTAGATTTTCCTGAGCCAAAAGCCCTTTAAATCCTTTTCTCCCCTTTGATTCCATTGCTTCAGTAACAGCTGCTTCTCTGAAGCCATTTCATTCTAGAGGCCACCCTCTCCAACCCGCCAGTTTATCTTCTGATGGCAGAACCTTGGATTTATTCTGACAGTGCTCCATCTTGCTCCTGAAAAAGGTTATTTAGTCACCTCAAATACTGCTGGTAGTAATGATGCAACAACCAGAGCACAAAGAAACAGCTCCAATCCACAGAGCAGCAAAACGTCTGATTAATTTGTTAATTACATGTAAGCCTGACTGATGCAGTCGGGGACACTGTATCAAAACCTTTAAGTTAAATTGTGTTAATAACTACAGTGTTTCTGAGATGTGCCAGCACCTCTTAACCCTGACACTCCCCCAAATATTAAAAGCTGCTCATGCTTTAGTGCCGTATGAAGGGTGTCTAACTCAAAAAATACCTACCCATGCCTGGTCCCAACTGCAGCAGGGCAGAACTGGGGCTTGGGAGAATATCTGTGAGCCATGATCCTACTGGCAGACAGCAGGACCATTCAGGGAGGAAAGAAAGTAGGAGCAGCACACCTTGAAATGTTCCTTGTTCTCCAAAGGAAGGGGACCTGTGTATGCCTCTGCTCCCAGCAGCACCCCGAGGGACAGGGCTGTGAGATGCCCACTGCCCTGGGCTTGTAAAGCCCCAGAAATGCCCCCCACTGTCCTCACTGAGGCTGCATCCTCTGAAGCTACGAGGGGAAAGCTTTTATGTGCAAGGTCAAGTAGGGCAAGAGATCAGACCTAGCACCACACAGCACAGGGGTGCAGGTCCAAAAGCCAATCATCTGTCCATCAGGATTTTACTACAGAGCTTCTCAGCTCCCACAAACCTTTCTTCCCACAGGCAGTGCTGCCTGGGGTGCTGGAACACAATCCACCACTCCAGGAACAGCAGAGGATGTTTCTGTGTTGGCACCCACAGATCCAAGAGAAAATGCAAATCTGCAGGAATGGGCCAGCAGCACGCCGTGAAGTTAATGGACACTTTGCTAGGATGAAATGTAAACCTGGCAGTGATTAACACATATGGCTTGAGCCAGACCACGACAAGTGTTCTACTTTCCTTACGGTGTTTGAAAATTACATCTGAACACAGAGAGACCGTGTCACTCCATGACACCTTTGCAGCAGCAGGTAGTGCTGTACAAGCCTTGAAATCAAAGGATGGGACACTGGTGTTGTAAAGGTTGCTGTGCCAGCTCCAACCCTGCTGATCCCACAGGGGAAGCAGGCACAGCACACCCAATAGAGCTGCAAGGAAGAGGAGCATACAGCACTTCCCCCAGGAATGAGGGAGATGTCATTTACCTCTAAGGCAAGAACCGGGTAAAATGTACCTGCTGCTGCCCAGCCCAGCCTCCAAGACTGCCTGCAGACCTCTACTGGAGCCTCACCTGCTCTCCTCATTCCCCGTCTGTGCAGGATATCTCTGCACAGGCAGAACAGCCACACGGAACAAACCTGCACCACCATCACCAGCATCCCAATGCTGAACTTTTCCAACTTGATTCCTCCCTGCCCCCTCTGCACTGATTCCAGCAGAGATTTATCCAGACTCCAGAGGCACACCCAGAGCTTGCATAGCTCCTGCCACGCACGAAGCTCACAGCTGGATGATGCTCACAGCTGGACTCTCTGACCTCTCATTACTTTTATTCTTTTTTCTTTTGCCAAGCTCTTTACATCTCTGTACAATCTCCCAGTAAATCACTGCGTGGATGGAAATTGCCCCAGTACCCAAATGAAGCTTGAGCATTTAAAATAGAAACAAGCCCAGAGGCAGTGCACTTGACTGGTGCTAATTCAGAGGTAAAATTTAATTGTTCATTTTATCCTTTGCTCCCAGCATCCCAAGCATCACGGGCTGAGTGTGTGGACGCAGGACTGCCACGATGCAAACCCCAGCTGAGGCCTCACATACTCCTGGATGGGGCTCCTTCTGAGCCAGCAGAAAATTCCTTGGGCAGCCCTTTCTCCCTCACATTTCCATCAGTTCTGCTGTGCTGACCAGTGAGCATGCAGGTACCCACTGCTTTAAATGATGTACAGGTATTTTGCAGAGATTGCTCATTTCCTTTTTTTTTTTTTTTTTTTTTTTTTTGAGATTAATCCATCAGGAAAATTTATTGTTGATTGAATCCTACTTCTCAAAAAAATTTTCCCTCCCCTGGTTCATTCCCAAAACCTATTCTAGCTCCAAAACCTATTTTAGCTCTGCTTTAAAATACACTTTCTACCTGTACTTAAAACAGCCTCGAAGCACAGGTGATGTTTTTCTGCCACTACATTCGGGGTTTCCTGCTTTGCACAGTGCATTCCCGGCGGCAGTTCTCGGCGGGACAAGTTGATGGGAAGATTTTAATTCCATATCAAAATCCGTCCGTGTTTCGGGGCACAGTGTCCCGATCTTGCCCGCTCCCAGCGGCCGGGAGTAGCGGGATAACAGATGCGTGAGCAAACGAGATAAACACAACGACCTCACAGGACGGCGGAGACACCGAGCGTGCACCGCGGTATTCCTGGCAAGCTCTCGCCTAGGCAGTCCCAAATGACAGCAAGCCGGCAAAAAGGAAGATTCGGCAGCGGAAAGGTTCGCAAAAGCGGGAACAGCCGGGATATAGCGGGGTTGGACCCGCGGTGAGCGCGGGGTGCAGAAGGTGGCAGGAGGGATGCGGGCACAGGACGCCGGTACCGGCGGCAGGTGGGATGCAGGATGCTGGCGGGAAGCACAGTGCAGGGCGTGCATGCCGGTGGGCTACGGGACGCGGGTACTCACCGGGGATCGCCGTAAGCGCCGGCGTAGCCCTCGACCCAGGGCTCCAGCTCGCTCTTGATGCCGGGGGCGGCGAAAGGCGCCCGGCCCGGTGGGTACCAGGCATCGCCAGGGCAGTCGGCAGGCCCGGCGGGCGGCTCGGGGCACGGCCCGTAGAGCTGTCCCTCCTCGGCGAAGAAGGTGGGCCAGGGGGGCGCGGGGCCCGGCGGGACCAGCTCGGCCCCGAAACGGCACGGGCCGCCCCAGCCGCCGCCCGTGGCCGGCCCCGCCGCGCTCTCCAGCTTGACGCGGCCGAAGCCGCGGGGCAGCCCCGGCCCGGCGGGCGGCTCGGCGGCCACGGCGGCCTCGAAGGCGGGCGAGGGGTCGCGGGTGGGCGGGCGAGGGGCGCGGGGTGGCCCGGCGGGCACGGCGAACATGCAGTCCTCGCGGGGCAGCGGCTCGGCCGGAGTCTCCAGCGCCTCCAGCGCCAGCCCCATGGAGGCGGACACGGCGCGGCACAGCTGGCGGGCACTGTCGCCCAGCGGGTCTTCCTTATCCGCCGGCTCTGTCTCGGGCGGCGGCAGCAGCGGCATCGCACCCGCCTCGCCCAGCAGCTCCCTCAGCTCTCCGGCGCAGGGGAAGGACGAGCCCATGGCGGGGTTGGCGGCCGGCAGCGCCTTGCCGGCGGTGCGGGGCTCGGGGGGCGGCAGGCAGCCCGGCGGGGGCGGCAGGCAGGCGGGGGAGTCCGGCGGCGGCCGGGGGCTCGGCGGGCAAGGCGCGCTCGGCAGCGGCTGCCCGGCGCCCGGTTCCTCTCGAGGCGGCTGGAAAGCGTCGCAGACGCTCTGGAAGAAGCTCTGAAAAGCCCCGCGGAAGGTCCTGCCCGCCGGTCGCGGGTAGACGCGACCGACCCCCAGCTGCACCTCCATGCTGGCCGAGCGCGGGGCAGCGATCGCGGCGGCGGAGCGAGGCGAGGGCGGAGAGCCTCGGCAGCGCTCTCGGCCCGACCCCCGCGGGCCGCCTACCCGTGCTGCTGCTCCGCGGCGCCCATGGCAGTGACCGCCGGGCACGGAGCTCGGTGCGCGCAACAGGCAGCCAAAGTTGTCGGCGGGGGCGCGGGCAGGTGCGGCGGCGGAGCGAGGGGCGGGCGGGGGCGGCCGCGGGAGGAAGGCGCGGCGGGGGGACCGCCCCACGGCCCGGCTCTCCGCCGCGATTAACCCTGTGACGGCCGCGGCGGCGCCCGCCCGGCCCCGGGCTCGGCACGGCCCCACCGGCGGCCCTGGAGCAGCGCGGACGCGGAGCCGCAGCCCCGCCGCAGTGTCCGGGCTTGGCGCCTCAGAGGCGGCTCGGAGCTGGATGGGGCTCCCCGGCCCGGCCCGCTGGGGACATCGCCCGTCACCCGGCCCCTGGGTGAGCGCCCGGCTGGGCGGGACGGGGCGGGATGGGGGCGCGGCGCGGCTGCCCCGGTTCCCAACTGTGCTGCTGATGGAGCGGGTGCGTGCGGAGCGCCCGCCCCGGTTCGGCTGGGCTGGGCTGAGCTCCCCCGCTCTCCCCTCGGCTGGCAGCTGGCGCAGCTGGGCGGACTTGGTCAGAAAATTGCTCCTTTTCGCGCTGGCGTGTCGGCGCTCAGCAGCTTTTCCCACCCCCGGCTGGGCCCGAGCCGACCCCCGCACCTCTTGGTTCGCTTCCTGCCTGAGGACCTGCCCGCTCCCACCTCCCACTGCCCCGCGTCGTGCCACAGCCCCCGCCTGCCAAAGCACGAACCATTCCGTGGGCATCCCCGCCCGGGTCACGCACTGGCATGAAATACACTCGCTAGCAGAGAGAATTAGTGCGGGACCAACCGTAAACAAGGCTTGAGCTCCCCTTGCTGGTCCTGGCATAACAATCCTAAAGCAACTTCTAGGAGACATCACCCCCAGGCAATTCGGGAATGGAATCATTTTCATTCGAGGGAGCTTAAAACAAGCCCGTTACTTTGAGTCCCTTTGGAGACAAAGGGGGAAAAAAGTCATAAATAAGCGGAGCCCGTGGGGAAAACAGAGAGACATATCCCATCTTTTAAAAGCCTTTTTACAAGCTGTAGAAGATAAAAATAAAAACAGAAGTCCAGCCAAGCAAAATTTGGCAATGTCCTCCATCCTGCCTGCGTGACCAGAGCAGCTGGAGGAGGGGCAGGAGGGCTGGTGCTCCGGAGGGAATGGGGTCACTGCCGATGGCTGCTGCAGCCCAGGACGGCTGCGGACAGGAGCTGCCACCCCCGGACCTGTGCCCGGCTCTCCCTGGCCACCGGGGAGAAAAGCATTTGTGGAGAAACCTCATCAGATCTCACACGTGGGTGAAACACCACGTTGGGCTCTGATGCCAAGTCCCACAGCCCCTAAAGAGCTGAAGGCAGCTCAGCTAACACCTGAGACGGTGGAAACCAAGGGAGATGTATTAAGATTTGTGCTGCCAAGTGGATGTGGGTTCCGGTGTCTTTGTTGTTCCAGCCTCTCAGAGCTGACAGGCTTCTGGAGTGAAATACAGACTCTGGAAAACATCTAGGGGAGGATTCTCACCATCAGCCTCAAGAGCTGTATTGAGAAGGGCTGAGGGCTGGGGCTGCAACACGGTATGGCTGCAGGAACAAGGGTCTCTATGCCTCAAACACACATGGGTTCCGACCAGAGAGCTTTGTTTGACCCCACTGTTCCCACAAGGAGGAAACATCTTCAGTTTGTACACCTTGAAACACCACAAACCTGCGAAGACCACAGCACAATTCAGACTTTTTTGTGTTCAAACAACCATCTCAGCCGGGATGGGACCTGTTTGGGCCTCAGCTCCAAGCTCTGGAGCTTTGGCTTTGGTGCTGTTTGTGTTGCCTTGCCCTTTCATCTCTCTGCAGCATCCCCAGGGCTCTGGATTTTCCCCCTGTCTGAATGTTACTGTGGGGTTTTTGGAATGTTGATCACTGCAGAGGTGCAGAAAGTGAGACTGCAAAACAGTTTGTGTACTTCAGTCTGCAGAGCCAACATTTCAGTTCTGACTGATGATCTGTGGTAAAGACATTTTAAATTTATTCCTTGAACAAGCATCTTCCAAGTAAAAAAATCCACTTGATCCTCACATTTCATTTAAAGCTGATGAAATGTTAGTGGATTTTCTGACTGTATATGTGCACAACTGCATATGCTATGCTTAAAGGCTCTGTGTATTTTAATCTTTATGCTTGGTTGCCCAAGTTATCACACGGTGTTCTAGAGATGTCCTTTTCTCAGCTTAAATTTGATATGGATTTCAATTATACTTTCCCATTCTCCCAGCAACACATATTCAGGTAATTTGTGTCTGTGAATGGTTATTAAAGTGGGAATTTAACATCCCATACAGGTATTTATAAGACTTTCTCCATAGGCTGAGGTCTGAGCTCTGTTTGTTACCAACAGTTTGGTCTTTCAGTTCAAAGTCAATTTAAATGCACGAAGAGTTAAAAAGAAATTGAAGATGATTGAACTCGTCTGTGTGTCATGGAACAGGTACTTTGCCTGGCCTCTTAGAAAGCAGAGTGAACAACAGTTTGGGCAGGGGGAGATGCTGAGGAAACCTAATCCAGAAGAACACTTTGACGCATCGTCATCTTGAAGAGTATAAATAGTCCCAGTTTCCTAGTTTTTTCTAGGTTTTTTTTCCTAGTTTCCTAGAAATCTAGGAAATATTCCTGTGCTTAAGGTTAAGGATTCCCTTAAGTGCTTTGCTGGATGAGTACCATGATGATTATTTATGAAGTACTGTCAAAAAGATTGGACACGAAGAAAAAACTTTTTCTGATAAAATCCTTTGGCTCAGAATGTCCTGTGTGACTGCTCAGAACTGCAGCAAACAACATTTTTCAGAGATAGGGGCCATTCCATTAAAAAATTTCCCTCTAGACCCAAGAGTAACAGGTGGTCCTTTGTTTTTTTGCCTGAAAAAATATTCAACACCAGGTGATCTCTAAGAGCTCAAATGTTATTATCAAAGTCCTGCAGAACTTGCCAGGAACAGAATCAATCATTTTTCACCACTAATCTTTAGTAAAATGAGGCCAGTAACACAGAGTCCAACAGCTTTGCTTCCATTCCTTGAAGCCAGTTGCAGGCATAACCCATTAGCCATTGTTTGGTGAGTTACTCTGATTGCACTCCTCCTTTTGTACCATCCCAGCTGTGAGGAGATGTCAACAGCTGTGAGCCTGTCTGTGGTACACCTGCCCTGCCAACATCCCCTAAATGGTGGGCTAATGGAGTTTTTTTCCAGCTGCAGCAGCCTGCATGAGAAAAAGAGGAATAATTTCTGTGGAGCATTGAAAATAGTGCCAGAGGTGCAGAAAGAATCACAAACACAAGTGTTATATCCCACTGCCTGCTGGGGCAGAGGCAGCTGGATGAGCCAGAGGTGCTGTGAGCCTCAGTGGTGCCTGTGCAGGTTGGAACAGATCTCTACTCTCACCTAATTGCCACTTAGCAAGGAATTTAAGGAACACAGTAATTTAGGGAAAGCAGCATGCACACAGGTGAGAGAGGCTGGCTTGTACTCCCCTGGATGCTGTGGCCGGGGTGTGAGCCCATTAGGGCTGGAGGAGCAGCCAGCCCAGCCTTTCCACCACCCACACCTGTGGACAGCAACTAGGCAGGAGCCTGTAGAACACCAGGCTTATTAATGCTGCCTCCCACAGCTTTTCCTCATTATTCCATCTGCTCTATTCTTCTTAGGCTGCCTAGAGCTACATAACAATACAGTTTTCTTAAGTTTTCAAATATTTAAGCTGTTTTTGTCAATCCTGGACTGCTGACTGCCTTGTGTCATCAGATAGATGTGTGAGTTCACATGTGTGGGTTAAGAGGCTTTAAAATTTGCCCTTGCAGGAAGGTGCAGACAATGTTTGCTTTCACTTTCGTCTATTTTAATTCCAAACATTAATAATGACTCACACCTCTCATAGCTTGCACCTTTCTGATTTAGGGCACAGGTTGCTTTACTCTTCCTTGCACCTCTCCTCAGTGGCCAACACTGATGTTGCTTTTAGCCAGGAAAGCTCAAAGCTCAGGTGCCCCCAGGCAGGAATCATCTGCCTCCTCACTGTGTTTTGATCAAGCTTTTGGGACAGATCAATGAGAAGATCCTGCTGTGCTCATGTCACCCTGCAAACCTTCTCTCAGAAAGGGGGGATTGACTGAGCATTGTCACCTCTCAAAAAGCAGAAGAGTTTGACCAAGTCTGGCTCGCAGCAGGAGTCCCTGGCTGGACCCTGCCCAGGGCTGCCATCAGCCCAGCAGCATTGGAGGGAGGCAGACGTGCACAGTGCCTCTCAAATGCCTTTGTTCACATCTTGGGACAGATCTTGCTTTAAACACAGGGCTAAGCAATGTTTTAGGTAACACTTCTGGAACAGTTACAATCACCTGAAGTGTTATTCTTCTCTTTGCTCAAATTCATCCCGGGCATCTCCACAGAATCACTAGCATGTTTCCCTTCTCTGACAACTTGGAGGCTGATTTTCAGAACAGCCTGTTCATGCACCTTAGTGACATGACTGAAGTGCTTGGTCCATTTGATCAATCCTTGCAGTGCTGAGAACACACATCTTCACTCCTAATGAAACACACATTTGTACCATTTCCCATGTCTTACACAATTGACTTTTGGGCAGAGTTTGGAGTTTCTCAAGAGCCAGGGAGGTAATACACAAGTTTGTGATGAGCTCCAATATGAAATCTGGTCCAAGGCAACAACTCTGGCAGATCCACTTTCCCAGCCTGCAGCTGGGAGAAGGCTGGGATAAGCCCACTTCCATTGCTCAGCAGGGAAACCCAACTAAAGTGAGATGACAGAGGCTGATGGAGATTCAGTGGCTTCATTGAACCCCTTGGGCACTTGGGGCTGCCTTCAGCAGGTCAGGACTCAT